CAGGGTGGGTGCCACTACCGAGAAGGCCCTCTTCCTACTTACCTGTAACCTCACTTCTCGCAGTGCGGGAATCTCCTGGAGGCCCTTGGAGCTGGACCTCAGTGTTCAGGCTGAACGATGGGGGTGGAGACATTCCTTCAGTGCATCACGTTGCTGAAGATTTCCTGCAAGGTGGGCAGGAGTCAGATATAGTCTATTGATGTCAATGCCTAAGCCAAGACCGCTCACATTCTGTAACCAATAAAGTTGTGGCCTAAATTTTGCCCATTAACATTAACCTAAAATTCTGTGTCCTTGTGTCTTTATTTTCCCATGGGGTGGCTTAGGGGCTTTGACACGCAACCCCACTTCTCGCAGTGAGGGAACTGCCAGAAGGCCCTTGGCACTGGACCTCAGTGTTCAGGCAGAACAATGGGGGTGGAGATGCTCCTTCAGTGGGTCACCTTGCTGAAGTTAACCATTCCTCTTTCAAACATTCCAACCCCACAGGTGGGAATAACACAATAGGGCTTACTCTCCCACTGCACAGCCCAATATATAAGGCTGTGAAGGAGGACCTCTTGCTTTCAAAATATATTGGTTTAAAGAAGGAAGAGCCTTTTCTAACCCTGACATTTTCAGCAAATCAAGCTGCCTTCTAGCAATCATGAGAGTTTCGGAGGCCTGGTGGGTGACCCTGTCACTCTGTGCCAAGCCTCTAATTGCATTATCAGCTGAAGGACTTCAGAATGCTCTTTCCTTCACCGTCAATTATTCTGTGTTGCTGCCTTGATTATGTGTCCTCTAATTGTCGCCCTGTGAGACAAGGGGACCCTCTGTGTAATGGAAGCTTCAGACAAGCTGGCTTTCAGCTGATAATTGCAACTGCACCAAAAGAAGCACCCAAAGTGTGGACCTATAAATGCATACTGCAAACACCCCATAGCTACACGCAGCAAGATCAATAAAAGCAACCCCATTTAACCCAAATTATGGGCAATAATTTCAAGCAAACAAAATCATCAAAAATATCTTTCTGGGAAAATGAATAGAAAAGAAGTTAAAAGAGATAGATAGAAAAATAAGATTCAGTATTATTATTATTATTATTATTATTATGTTGCCATATTTCAAAAAGTGAAAATCTGGATGCAAAAATTGCAAAAGTTCAAGAAACAGAGAAGATTTTAACCTATTTTTTAAGGAAAAATCGCCACCCAGGATTTCCTGGACATTTTTGCTGCTTTTCAAAAATCCTGCCCAGACGCCATTTTTACAGGTGAATCTGGGAAATTCATGACCTATGGCAGTCTTACAAGCCCTACGATATGAAAACACAAAACACATAATAAAAACAAAGACAAGGACAACCCAATGCCATTTTTCTGCTTCCAATCACCTTCTTATGGTCACACTAACTCATTTTTAGTTTGTACGATTGTTATCCTGTCCTTCCTGTCAGGCTTGTACATGTAGCGGATTCTCGACTATCCTCATGGCAAGCCTATGTTTTAGGCTAGATTGAGAGATTTGGCTTATACAAAGCTAATGTGCACAATGACTTAGTTGGGATTGGGAATTGCTGTCTCGGTGGCTTGAGTAGTCATTTAGTTCTCCTAGATTTGTGCAAACCTCTCCCCTCTTAAAGAATAGAGCTAGTCTTATAGGAACTCTGTTGACTTATCTCAAAACGCTTCATTCTTTCACTCAAATTCTATCCCCCCAAATTGCTTTCTTTTAAGTCAGGTTTTGGTAAGCGGGTTAATTCTTTCCATCCCGCCCCACAGACTTTCTGATGCTAATTATGGGGAACTGTTTTAAGGCATGAGTTCCTATGAAACATGTCAAACTCATTTAACTCATACAAGAGGATCACTACAGCAATTCCATTGATATAGCTCCACTCTCAGTCTAAGACCTTTTCCCCCACGCCTCCTGCATCTAACTCTTTCATTGTATCCTTGCTATTAAGGTGATTCAGGGCCATTGCATTGTATCTTTAGGCATCCACTAGGTTGTACACACAGTTCTTTTTGTGCCTAGTCCCTGCAGAGGTGAACTCAAACAGCACATTTAAGCAGAGCTGGGAGTAATTTAGATAAATGATGCTGTTCAGAGTGATCTGTTAAGACCAGAACAAACTGTCTTTTCCTTCACAGTGTCACCCAGCTGCGATAGAGCCCTCCGGCCAGGACAAGAATTTAACATGTTTAATTGGTGAGATGATAAATTCAAGAGGCTCTTTCCTGCAATGGCTGCTAAGTGATGTTCGGTGTCTTGGCAGCAATGGTGCGCTTAAAACCATATGTTATGTGACCGTGCGAGATACCCGTCAATCTATGTTGCAATGCGCAGAGTGGTTTTGTGGTAGTACACGCTGAAACATCTGGCCATGAGTGGCTGAGATGCCTTTATGTCAGAGACAGGCCAAGCAGGCAGGATTTCTTTCGAATGCCATTGGCTAAGCTTTTCTGCCTTTGACTGAACGCCATAGATCTCATGCAAGGGCAAGGGAAATAACTCAGAAGGGAGAGATAGAAACAACACCAGCCTATCAAAGCAAGAGTCAGATTCCTGGGAAGGGAAACAGAATAAGAGGGGTTTAGGAAATAAAGATTGGGACTTGGATAAGGGAGTGGTCCAGAGGATAGCTCAGTCCGTAGAGCATGAGACTCTTAATCTCAGGATTGTAGGTTCAAGCCCCACAATGGGCAAAATATTCCAACATTGCAAGATGTCCCTTATTGTCTCTTCCAGCTCTACAGTTCTATGATTCTATGTAAATAACAAGGCTATGTACATTTAGAGCACATTTAATGCATAATTCACCCCACCCCCCAAAAAACCAGAATTCTGAGAAATGTACTTATTTAGAGTGCTGGGAATTGTAGCTATATGAGGGAGAAACTACTGTTCCCACAATTATTTTGGGGGAGAGAAGGGAAATGTGTTTTGAATGTATGGTGTGCAGGCGGTCTAAGTCAGGTGTGTCTGAGAGGTCCGCTCAATTTCCCTTGTGGGCGGTGTTGCAGCCAGGGATCCAGGTCCTCACAGTGATCTGGCTAGGGGGCAGGGGGGACGCCCCCCTCACACCAACCCCCGGCTGCATCATGCCTCTGCCGGCCAATCAGAGCCCATTTCCTTTCTCTCCTCTTAAATCTTTTCTTCTCCTTATTTCTGGACATATTGAGCTTCTGGTTCTCTGGGAAGTCAGGATTGGAGAGAGGTGTAGAGAAAGCTCTGCTGCCGCCAGACAGCTAGGCAAATGCGGCAGATTTTAGAACAATGTGAAAATAAATAAAATGTTTCAAAGAAAAGAACAAAAGAATGGGGAGGGGGAGGGACCCCAACCTCAGAGCTGTAAGCTGAAGCTGATTTTTGTTTGTTTGTTTGTTTATTTTGCAGGTTGACCTCCAAAATGAAAATAAAATCTGTGAATAGTTCTGGCTCAGCGCTACGTTTTCCTCCAGAAATCTGAATTCCTTGGCAAAAGCTGCTGTAGACAAAACTGTTTGCATTTATGGCCTAGGCACAAGTCTCTGCTGCTGCAGATTTTCTGCACAGTTTACGAGATCTTATGAACAACCATTGGGGAGAGGAATCAAGGCAAATTGAAACTTCATTGCTGCTACATTTTAGGGAAATGCAGCAGATCCTAACCAACAAGAACAGAACAGTCTCTTCAGATTATTGTGCTTTCCTTGAAGATCTTAAAAATCTTTTGGTGGAGATAAGAAAAGGGGAAGAAACAACATCCTCCAGGTGCTTTAATTTTGTCACATTTTTATGCAGCTACTGATGTGGGAAAGAAAAAAACCCCTGCACTTCTTTAAACCACTCTCCTAAGACAGTATATGAGAGGGAGAATTCTTTGCTTGTCTGCTGCTTTCAGCAAAATCCTAGCACACAGCATGACGCCTTATGGAGTCCATGGGTGAAAAAGGGCCACTGTTCAGTGGTGGAGTATATGTTTTGCACATGTAAGGTCCCATGTTCAGTTCCCAGTTTCTGCAGGGAGGGCTAGGAATATCCTACCCTCCAACATTTCTCTGATGAAAATGGGAAAACCCTATTTCATCATCATCAACATCATTTTACTATTTATATCCTGCTCATCTGACTGGGTTGCCCCAGCCACTCTGGGCAGCTCCAAACATTTTTCAAAAAACCACAATAAAACATTAAATGTTGTAATAAATAAATAAATAAAAATCCCTATACAGAGCTGCCTTCAGATGGTTTGGGGGTCCCATAACTCCATACCCTCCAACATTTCTCCAATAAAAATAGAGAGATCCTGAAGGATCAAATCAGAAACCAGGGCAGCTTCTGTAAATCTGGGACTGTCCCTGGTAAAAAGGGAAACATGGAAGGTCTGGAATATCCCCTGGAAAGCTTCCATTCAGCTCAATTTAAGGCATTTTTCTAGGTGTCCTGTGACAGAAAGCTGCAGCTGACCCTTCCCCACAGGGACTGAATGATACTATTGCTGTTAAACTAGAAAAGAGTCAACCGTTTAGTACTAACTCATAATACTAATCAGCTGCATTAAAATCCACCCCCCCCCATTGTCTGCCCTTCATTCTTGCAAGCAGTTCTTGCAAAGCATTTCTTGGGGTTTCCGCTAGCACAAAGAGAAAGCAATACACTGCCAGGAGGGTTGTGAGCTATAGATACACGTCAATGCAACAAAATGAATGCTTCCTTGCAAAATGATTTCCAAGGCAATGCATAAATGTCCTTATAGGAGACTTGCTTGTTTTCTGCCCAGCACAGCATTCTGTGCCTCTCGAGTGAGACACTACTTATGCCGTAGATGGGCGGCGAATTGGATTCAAGAACGGCTATTTTTATTCCACAGAACTCAGCATTTTAAAACCGTTGCTTAGTGGCCGGTACCGATGTCCTTTCCTGCATGAAATGTATGCATAATTGTTGTTTTTACCCGGGGGATGGGAGGGTGGTCATACTCCTAGCTTAGAATCGTAGAATTGTAGAGTTGGAAGGGACCCCGAAGAATATTCTGCAATGCAGGAATACACACCTGTCCCAAACGTTGAACCTGCAAACCATGGCGTTATCAACACCATGCTCTAACCAACTGAGCTATCCAGGCTTTTTTTCTTGACAAGATGGGGAGGACTGCATTGACCTTAAGCTGAAGTGGCCTTTCTTTAAGCAAAGGGCCAGGTAACATCAACTGCCCCATGTGTGAGAGAGAGTGGAAAATGAGGCTGACAAAAAACATCACCTATATACTTGCATTTATCATAAACATTATCATTTTCGCTCATATGTGATGGCTCCAACCTGGTGGAATGCTCTGCCCCATGAGACCAGGGCCCTGCAGGATTTAATTTCCTTCCGCAGGGCCTGTAAGACAGAGCTATTCCACCTGGCTTTCAATTTGAACTTAGCCTGATCTTTTATTCTCCTTCCTTCCCTCCCCCTCCCCTTTTTATGAAGATTACCTGCTCTGGGATCCCACAGCTAATTCTCCCCTGGTCTCCTCGCTGGCCCAAATAGGACTAATTTAGCCAGCTAGCCCTGGTGATCATCTAATGTTTATTGGATGGATTTCCCCCCTAAATTGATTTTTGAATTCTGAATTTATTGTTATTCACGTTTTATACTGTATTCCAAGCTGTTTTTTGTTGCATCAATTAAGTGTTTTAAATTTGTTGTTAGCTGCACTGAGCCCAGTTTTCTGAACCGGGAAGGGTGGGGTATAAATAAAAAAATATTATTATTTATTATTATGTAAGGGTATCAGGGGGTTGCTCAAGAGCAATCAGGCAAATGCCTCCCTGGTCGGCTGTAAAGCCTTGTTATCGGTGCCAAAAAAAACCTTCACCATGCAGAGTGCCACTATTCCGTGGCTCCCTCATTCACTGGCAGAATCTGAGAATGGGCGGTCCTTAACCTTCCCAGCAGAGTAGTTTCTTGACGCCCAGTCTGCATTTCCCCTCTCTGCGCGGAAGCCTACTGCGCAAGGAGGGCGTGGGTCACAGAGGACCTCTCTCCTCTCCACTTTGCTCAGGCAAGGTGTCCTGGCACCGCCTCGCCTCCCCTGAGCCCTGCAGCTCCTCTCCACTGGAGGCGTGGTTACTCTCCTCCGCTGAGGAGGTGCTGTTTCCCACGATCTTTGGGGGCTCTCTGTAATCCATCCAGCTTTTCCCTTCTCGCCCCTGAGCCGATGGCAGTTCCCTGACAATTATTATATTTGTTCATTGCTTTTTATCCCTTCCTTCCTCTGTGGAAGGATGTGTCAGGGGCAGGGCAGAGGAGGAATGGTGGAGGAACACCTCCCCAGCCTGACCCTTCCAGAGAAGAAGACAGTTCAGAATTACAACGGGTTTGAGGGAGATCACAGTTCAGAAGCAGATGAGGGGAAAAACTGGGAAATAATGGGAGAGGAGGAGCAAGAAGAAGAAGCAACAGGGGAGTGGTAGATGACAGACACAGTGTCTTTAGAAAGCATTCCAGAGCCCCCTCTCCCAGAACCCGGCGAGCATTGAAAGTAGGAGAGCAAAGAGCTCAAAGGCAGAGGGCACTTTTCAGCACCAGTAATGACACATTAGGAAGTGGGAGAGACGGAGGGGGTGGAGACTCACTTGGGACAACAGCATTCTTCCAAGAGGCTGCATTCCCAAGCCTTTCTCTGCGAATATTGGATAAAAAACAGATGGTAAGGACTTTTCCTTGTTTTATCCATTCCTGGCAACCTGCCATGGGGGTTGGTTCCTCTGCTGCCTGACAGAATGTGGCAAACATCAAAATGTTAATACAATTTGAAATAATATAAAACACATATCAAAGATAATTAAAATGATCTAAAAACATTTAACAGCAATCACATACACTAATTTCAAGGTTTCCACAGCCAGCGTCTTGCGTCAACCAAGTGCCTGAGTAGCCACTCCACTGAACAACAGAAACAGAAACAGTCCTGAGAAATGAACATTAATTGCTTAAAATTCTGAAATTGTCCCAGAGTTGTAGGGGTCATGGTGTATTAGACTGCCCCAGAGGAAAGATGGGTGGCTGAGATGAGTAGGCAATCCAGGAGGGAGCTGGGCTGAGTTGTTGAAAATTCCCACTCCTGTGAGCATTGATGGTGCTTTTTTTTTAATGTTGAGATGTTCATACCTTTGCGGAGTTGTTGGTCTGACATCCGTTTGAAATATTTATTTCCATGAAAAGCTAATGAAGTATCAAAATGTTAGCATTATGTTTGGCAATGGATCATTATGTCACTATAATGTTCATTACCGCTCATTTTGTTTATGCATTCTTGTGGAGATTGTTTCCATTTTGTATAACATGAGCTATTTTGAATGCTGGTGGAAAGGCAGCCTGTGAATTCAAGACTAATCTCATCTAATCTAATTTGGTAGTAGCAAAGGAGAATAGTTTGCGCATCCCAGAATGAAGTATATGAGGGCATCCAATGTTGTGTCCTCCGAAAAGTTCCTGGACTACAGCTCCCATCAGCCCTTGCCACCATAGACAATAGCCAGGAATTATGAGAGTTATAGTACATTGTCATCTGGAAAGCAACACATTAGCTTATCATTGGTCTGTTGCAAACTGCAGAGTACCAATCTGAACACATCTACGCATTGTTTGATGTACACTCACATCAAACCTTTTGCACTCTGAAGCAGGCATTAAAAAGTGGCAGTTTATCGACTCCCAAGTTATGCAAGGTTCTTCTAAAAACATTCCCTGATGCTACAGCTCTGAAGATTTCATGTTTTTGAAATGCAAATTAGAAATAGTGCCTATTGATTTGGCACTTTGATAGCCGATTCCACATAAACTGTGAGGATCTATACTGCTCTCATTATTTCTTCTTATCAGATAGATGCCTTTGTCTGATTTCAAAACAAACAATCAGTTAAATTAGTGCACTGTTCCTTACACTCCTCTGCTTCTGAACTCTATTAGGTCTCTTCTTATCTATTTCCTCTTTTATTCCTTCCTGATGGTGTGAGTTATGGGATGGATTCCAAATATTTATGCCTGCTTTTCAATTTGTAATAATGCGTGCTTGCATGACGGATCGTTGTTATGGCTGTTTCTTTTTTTCCCTGCGTGCTGTTTATGACCTGTCTCAACGTTCTCAATATGCCTTTCAAAACATTCTCAATATGCCTCCTAATGAATGTTTCTAAGATAATTCACAGCCTGTTATGCTTCTTGCCTACGCTTCTTTTTTCTCATTCAGAACCAATTAGTTGTATACACAAACACACACACCAAAAAAAGATCAACGGAAGAGGTCTTTATGAATGACTGGTTCTGGCAGTAGGATGCAGGCAACTTTCTCTTTCACTGTGGCTGCTTAGCATGGGGGGGGGGGGGGAGAGGGAGCGTTACTGGACCGCTTTCCGCACTTCAGAACCATCTTGCACTGCCAGCTCAGTAGAGGAAACGTCACACAGGGAGCCAATAGCATAACATGATTCCATAAACTTCAGGCCTGTTTCCCCCATCTTTGCTTCAGTCAGACATCTTCCCCCAACTACTTCTTGGAACAAATGCCAGTTTGACTCCAGACTGTCTGCCCTGACAATGGCACTGTCTTCCCTTTACACATTGTTTTCAGGGATTAGTACTCTGCAAAACAACAACAACAACAACAGCATCGTGTGTCAAGGTGCAGTGGTATCTCAGGTCACATACGCTTCAGGTTACAGACTCCGCTAACCCAAAAATAGTGCTTCAGGTTAAGAACTTTGCTTCAGGATGAGAACAGAAATCGTGCAGCGGTGGCACAGCAGCAGCAGGAGGCCCCATTAGCTAAAGTGGTGCTTCAGGTTAAGAACAGTTTCAGGTTAAGTATGGACCTCCAGAACGAATTAAGTACTTAACCTGAGGTACCACTGTAATCCCAATTCTGTCTCACAAAAAGCAAGGCTCTGTGGGGTTGTTTTTCCCCCTTTGCTTGCTTCTTCTTCAAAATTCTTTCTCCACAGTCTACTAACTTGCACAATTTGCTATGGTCATTTGAGATTTCAAGTTAGGAGTGACTGGTTCTAGCCTGGACCCCATAATATCAATTTTCTTGACATACAAATTTTCTATGTTCAGTGTAGTCCCCCTCCCTCCACAGCTTTCTTTCTTTTATACAGTAAAAGGCAAAGGTAGGTAACCTTTACCTTTTATACAGTAAAAGGTAAAGGTAAAGGTATTAGGTACAGTCGTGGCCAACTCTGGTGTTGCGGCGCTCATCTTGCTTTATTGGCTGAGGGAGCCGGTGTAAAGCTTCTGGGTCATGTGGCCAGCATGACTAAACCGCTTCTGGCGAAACCAGAGCAGTACACAGAAACGCTGTTTACCTTCCCGCCGGAGCGGTACCTATTTATCTACTTGCACTTTGATGTGCTTTCAAACTGCTAGGTTGGCAGGAGCAGGGACCAAGCAATGGGAACTCACCCTGTCACAGGAATTCAAACCGCTGACCTTCTGATCGGCAAGTCCTAGACTCTGTGGTTTAACCCACAGCACCACCCGTGTCCCTCTCTTTTGTTCAGAGGAGCATGCGAACTTGTGATGAACCACCAGCATTGGGAAGGGGTGTATCTTCTGGAGAGATGCATCAAATGGTGCTTTCTGAAATAAGAGGTCTATCTTTAGAAAGGATCTTTGTTACCTATAGCATATTAGTGAGCACAAAGCTTCATTGGCTTAGTCTGGTAGAACATGATGTGTGCACGAAACCTCTTAGCTCGGGAAAATCCCTTTTGAAGTTGTGAAAGCGCCTTTGAAGTGTCGACACAATGGATCATTTCCATAAGATGAAGACACTTCGTTTGCCCCCAGAGAGGGAGAAACATACAATGTAAAATCTGATCTGAGGATCAAATAGAGATGTCATGACTCTGTGCTGATGTGTTCTGGCAGAAAACTAAGATTGAGTTCAAAGACATTGTGGGGGAAATCTGAGGCCTTCCAAGTGCATGTAAAGAAATAAGACTCAATACCTCACATGCCTTACCGGGGGGGGGGGGGGACACAACCCACAGGATTGGCAACATAAGGCAATCATGTCCATAAACAGGTAACATAGGAAACTGCCTTATAACAAGTGACATCATTGATCCTTCA